CCTCCTCCCTGCTGTTCCAAACCATCTTAATCTTTCCATGGAAGTTTTGCTCGTTTGTTAACTTAGTCAGATACTTCAAGCTGTACCGGTTTATTGCCTTGGTAAATATGATTCTGTTGTACCTTAGGGGAGAGACTGTGGCTCAGTTGTTAAAGAGTGCATGCAAAGGGATCTGGGTTCAGTCCCTTGCATCCTCCAGCTGAAAGCTCAGGAAGCTTTCCTGGGAAGGGATCTTTCTCTTCCTGAGACCTTGGAGAGCCAGTGCTGGTTAGAGTACTAGACAATGCCGGTGGTGGAAAATGCCAAGTCACAGCCAATGGTCCCTCTAAGCTGTGGAGTCTTGTGAGCAAAAATTCTACTTTGCGAGCTACCGGCATTGAAGTCGTGAGCGAGCGATGTGGCTGCTGCATAAATCACTTTGCTCGAGAGCCATCCTTCCTGAGTGGAGACAAAAATGTGTGAGCCGCAGGCTAAAAAACTGTGAGCTAGCTCACACTCACTCAGCTTAGAGGGAACACTGGTCACAGCTGACTTACGGTGAGCCCCGTAGAGGTTTTCCAGGCAAGAGACATTCAGAGGCGGTTTGCCATTGCCTGCCTCCACATCACAAACCTGGTATTCCTTGGAGGTCTCCCATCCAAATGCCAGCCAGGGCCGACCCGGCTTAGCTTCCGAGATCCGACGAGATCGGGCTGGCCTCGGCTTAAATGGAATGATGTTAGGGGTTATTAGGAAAGGGATTGAAGTACGCACATGGTTTCCATGGCTGTAGTACATGACAGAAGCTGAACTTCTTCCCACTAACACTACTTATTCTTCTTTGCTTTTCCTCTAGCTTTCTACTGTACACACTGAATTACATATAAAAATATTCTACATCTACGATCCAGACCTAATCCAGTACTCACACTTGCCTTACTGTCAGAGGTAGCATAATTACCAGCACTTCTTACCCTTTCTAATTGGTTGATAAATGTTCAAAAAATGTTAAAATAGTTTTTACTGCGACATAATAAGCTTTTGATGCAACTTGATCCTTATCACTTGTTGTTGCTTGTTTAATGCTTTTGATGTTCAGTGTTGTTAATGATGATTTAAAAACAAATAAAAATATATTTTAAAAAAGGAAAGGGATTGAACATATAATGACCGATATTATAATGCTTCTGTATAGATCTATGGTAGGGCCTCATTTATTTATTTATTTATTTATTTATTCTGGGATTTATATCCCGCCCTACCCATACGGCTCAGGGCAGCAAACAACCGGCAAATGTTGGGAATAAAACACAAGTTACATTAAAACTTCAATAAATACAAACTAAAATGGTGCTGTACAGTTCAATTTTAAGAAAGTTCAAGATGGTCGATCCTCACTGGCGGCCAATGATGTAAAAAGCGGAGCGCCAGAGTAGTATTCCTTTCAGGGCGGCGTCTCTCCGTACCCAAGGCCAGGTAGATGGTAAATTTGGAATACTGTGTACAGTTCTGGTCACCATGTGTCAAAAAGGACATGGCAGAACTGGGAAAAGTACAGAGGAGGGCAATCGAGATGATTAGGGTGTTGGAGCACCTTCCCTGTGAGGAAAGGCTGGAAGAGTCTGGGACTCCTCAGTTTAGAAAAGAGACGGCTAAGGGGGGGGGGCATGAGAGAGGTTTATAGAATTATTACTGGGGTGGAGAGAATTGGCGAAGATAACTTTTTCTGCCTTTCCCAAGATACTAGAACTCAAGGGCACCCAGTGAACTGATGGGCAATAGATTCAGAAAAGAAGAAAGGAAATACTTCTTTATAAAGTGAGTGATTAAAATATGGAATTCACTGCCAGAGGATGTAGTGATGGCCACATGAATAAGCAGCTTTAAAATAGGAGTAGATAGGTTCATGGAGGATAAATCTGTCAGTGGCTACTAGCCATAGTGACTGAGGGGAACCTCCAACGTCAGAGGCACTAATCCTCTGAATCCCAGAACCAGGAGGTAACCCCAGGGGAGGGCCTCGGCCTCTGTGCCCTGTTGTTGACCATCCAGAGCAACTGGTTGGCCATTGTGTGAGACAGAATGCTGGACTAGATGGACCCCTGGTCTGATCCAGCAGGGTTCTTCTTATGTTCTTATCAGGGGAAGGCCTCAGCCTCTCTGCCCTCTCGTTGGCCCTCCAGAGGAACTGGTTGGCCCCTGGGTGCGACAGGATGCTGGACTAGATGGACCCCTGGTCTGATCCAGCAGGGTTCTTCTTATGTTCTTATCAGGGGAAGGCCTCGGCCTCTCTGCCCTGTCGTTGCCTCTCCATAGGAACTGGTTGGCCACTACGTGAGACAGAATGCTGGACTAGATGGACCCCTGGTCTGATCCAGCAGGGTTCTTTTTATGTTCTTATCAGGGGAAGGCCTCAGCCTCTCTGCCCTGTCGTTGGCCCTCCAGAGGAACTGGTTGGCCACTGTGTGAGACAGGATGCTGGACTAGATGGACCACTGGTCTGATCTAGCAGGGTCCATAACTGTCTTACAGTGCCAAGTTATAATCATTTGGTGCAAGGGCAGATAGACAGGTTTTGGCCTCTGCCGACGTGATATATTGTTGTGGGGGGGAGGGCTGTGACTCAGTGGCGGAATGTCATTGTAAAGATGGACCCCTGGTCTGATCCTGAAGGGCTCTTCTTATGTTCTTATGATGACCAGACTCTGTTGAAGGTAACGGTATCTGTTTCCACATGAGGTTATTTCCCTGCGTGGACAGTTGAACGCCCATGCTTTCTACCGAGAAGGTCCACATGATGTTGTGTTCTTTCTGGGCCTGACTCGTGGGCCTCCCTTGGATATCCCCATTGAGCCATGTCAAAGGAGGAAGTGTGAGGTGGCTTTGGGCGGAGCATCCATGTGGATGCTGCCCCTGCAGCCAGTCCGGGCAGGGGCTGGAACTAAGTTCTGCAACTCCTGCGCTTTTTAGCCCTTTAACGGGCTTCTTTTCTTTCACGGCTGAGCCACGGTTCACCTTTGCAGCAGGGCGCGCGTGGGAAGGAGGAAAGGAGGGTTGCCAGGCCCACAAGCAGGGCAGTGCGATTGGTGCCACGCTGGGACTTCTGCGCCAGTGGGTTTGGAAGGGTGGGAGTGACGTCAGCAGAGTTGGGTCGATGCCACCTTTTGTTAAATTCAGCTTTCTTTTCTGGGTTCTGGTAAGCTTATTCACTTATATAGTGTGTATCTCATTACTGGCTGTTTATTTTATTTAGTTTTTTTTAATTCTATATAAGAAGAAGAAAAGATTGGATTTATACCCTGCCCTTCAGTACCTGAAGCAGTCTCAGAGAGGCTTACAATCTCCTTTCCCTCCCCCTTATCAGCAAGCTGCCATAGGGTGGTGTGTTCTTTTCTACATGTTACATTGTACTCGATCCATCCCCCCTGTATCTCCCTGTGTAGGTGTTTACTTTCTTTTGCTTGCTACATCTGCGGAACTGCTCAAGGTCAACCAGCTGGAGGTGGGATGGAGTTATGGCGTTTTTTTGCTTATTATGTATCTCATGCCTGAGAACTGAACTTGTGTTTATGTTGTAGAACCGTTGTGTTCCCAAGGAATTGGGCGCTAGTTTTATCTGCATTCCCGCCAGCGGGAATTGGACTCATTGGTCCTAACCTGGTTCAAGTTCCTTTATTATGTTTCCCTATGAGGTCTGTAGTCATTCCTAACAATTCTTGTGTTCCTGAGCTAACCATCGCTTTATAATAAATTTAACTTTGATCTTCAAACGTGGATTTATTTTGAATGCATGGGGAATCGGACACCCCTCCCCACAACGGACACCCTGTGAAGTAGGTGGGGCTGAGAGAGCTCTGACAGAAACTGCTCCTGAGAGAACAGCTCTGAGAGAACTTGTGACTAACCCAAGGTCACACCAGGAGGCTGCATGGGGAGGAGCGGGAAATCAAACCCAGTTCTCCCAGAGTAGAGTCCACCGCTCTTAACCACCACACCAAACTGGTTCTTCCCTATCCATGCTGATTTTCTTCCTTTCTGGGCTCTTCTCTAATGCTGTATGTTAAGTAAACTTCTGCAAATACTTCATTTTGTTCCAGGAAAGGAAGAATCCATTTAACAAATCAAGCCTGTTAGAAGACGATGCAAAAAGTCAACACTCTGAACATGGAGTTTCTGGTTCATCAGAGGCATCAAAGAAGGGTGAATACTTTTAAAAAGATCCGTATTGCTCTGTGGAGTTAATGGAAAATTGAGCAAGTCTTTGCTTGCATTTTTTCTGTGGTTCGTGTTGAGGACGCTTTGTTCTCAAGAAGTTTCCCAGGAACGTTATAGCATTTTTGCCTGTCTGCTGAGCGTTGCCACTGGACATAAATCAAAGTCACACAGAGTAAATTACAGGAAAACCAGAAAAATGCATTTGACATATTTGTTAGGCATAACTGTCTTACAGTGCCAAGTTATAATCATTTGGTGCAAGGGCTGATAGACAGGTTTTGGCCTCTGCCGACGTGATATATTGTTGTAGGGGGGAGGGCTGTGACTCAGTGGCGGAATGTCATTGTAAAGATCAAGAGGGGAGCTCTTTTGGACTCGGAACTGTGGTGTGGAGGGAGAAAGGGCCTCCTCCCTCCCCATGTACCATTTTGAGAAGCTGAAACGGCCACTGGCAGGGAATTATTTATATAACTTCGGAGTGGCATGTGGGGGTATTCCAACCACTCGCTGCTTTGAAGTTATGGAAATAATTCCTCGCTGGGGGGGTGAGATTCAGCTTCTGAAAACATTGGCGTGTGTGTGTGGGGGGGTGCCTCCTTGTCCCCCATGCCGCAGCTCCAGGCCTAAAGGGCTCCTTCTGGCATTCAAAATGACGTTCCCAGCAGCTGCTGTGTGACTGCAGGGAACATGAGTCGAGTCGGGGGAACCCAGACGCAACTCACCGAAAAAACATCATGTCTAGTTTGGCCCTATCCGAAGCATGCCTCGCTGCCGCTCCCAGCACTGAAGCTTGCTTTTCCATTGCATACCTTACTTTAATTTACTCTCTTTCTTGGCCCGAGGCTCTGCCCATGGAGGTGGCAGTGTGAAAGGGATGGCAAAGTGACAGGATGGGCTACACCACTGTAGACTGTGGGTATGGGGAAGATCACATCTGCTTGGCATGCAGAGGGTCCCAGGTTCAATCCCCAGTATCTCCAGTTAAGAAATCTGGCACTAGGCAATGTGAAAGAGCTCTGCCTGAGACCCTGGAGAGCTGCTGCCAGTCTGAGTAGACAATACTGACTTTGATGGACCCAGGGTCTGATTCAGTATAAGGCGGCTTCATGTGATCATGCGTTCATGAGAATAGGTTGGGATAGAACTTTCTTTCTGATGTGTTAAGTTTTTTACTTGCAGGTTTTTTTCAAATGCACAGGGACATTGATTTTTTTTTTAATCGCTTCCCCCCTCTTGCAGGCTACAGTTGGACTATTCTGCTGAATGTAGGGTTGCCAGCTCCAGGTGGGGAGATTCCTGGAGGTTTGGGGGTGGGGGTTGCAAAGGGGTGGGAGCTCAGCAGGGTATAATGCCCCAGAGCCTTCCAAAGCAGCCATTTGCTCCGGGGGAACCGACCTGTCATCTCAAAATCTGTTGTAATTCTGGGAGATCTCCAGGCCCCACCTGGAGGATGGCAACCTTTGTTGCATGTGCCATTCTGTCTCATTATGTTAAGTCTTTACCTTAAGAAGCATGCCAAAGTTGTTCCATCTCCAAGGCATTCCATAATGCTCTTTCCTAGGTTCCTTTTTTGCAACTAGAGAATCACTGTTTGTGGCCTGTTTTTACCCTTTCCTTTGTGTGTGTGTGTGTGTGTGCGTGTGTGTTGTCTTGCAGATCCCCCTTTGCCTTCAGTAGAAAACCAACCCGAGGTAAACATAACAAACAAAGAGCAGGCTTCTGTACAGCCGAACGATCCACAGAGACAGGCGGGGAAGCCTCCCGTACCAAAAGCTAGGAAGAACGTCCACAAGACGTCCGACGTCGGCGTGAAGAGCGACGATTCGTTCCCCCAAGTGTCTAGAAGGATCAAGCCAGGTAACGGCCAAGGGACGCCGCCCAGGGGCATCTTGAAGCGCAACTCGAGTTCAAGCTCCACCGATTCCGAAGTGCTCCGCCTTAGCCAAACGGTGGACCCCCCCTTTAAAAACGGGCTGCCTCCTTCGACGATCCTCGAAGGGGTGGCGGATAAGAACAGCCCCCCCAGAAGGGAGCTGGAAGGATTTTCTCAAAACTCTTTGGAAAGATCGAAGCAGGTCAGATTCTCTTCCAGCGTGAGTAGGAAGGAACGCCCGCCCAGCCTTGAGTTGCACGAGGGGAAGGAATCGGGGGAGTTCAGCTTGTTAGACTCAGACTACGGGAAGCCAAGTGACAACCAAGTGTCCAGGTTAGGCGCCTGTCAGAATGAGCAGACTCCTCCGATAAACCCATCGCCCTTCCGTTCTATAGACATTAATGGCCACAGTGAGGATCAGGCTATGCCAAAAGAAGGAACGGCGGATCCAAGTTCTTATAACGCGGATAGGCCGGGCCAACCACCCGAAACCTTGCAGTCCCAGAAAAGCCCACCTGCCAAATGTAGAACTCCCAGTGACTCTTCCAGCAAGATCTTCCCAAAGGTCGTGGAAGAGCGAAGGGCTGCTGAAGCAAAGCTTGAAATCAAAACTGGACCTCGGAGCCCTGCGCCAGACGTCCCACAAAGCTCCGCTGGTAAGCCATACAGTACTGTAATGACTGGAGTCGTATGTGGCCGGAAATTCAATTTCCCACTAATCTTTCATGTAGGAGGCTGCGTCTGCTATGTTTGCAAGCTTTTCACCCTTGTTATCGCAAATGCTATTTGCTTATTTTTTCTTAACTCTTCGCCTTCGCACATATGTTGAGGATTTTGTGATTCAGGGTGCAGCACATTGAGTTCTTAATGCTGCAGGTGATTATGTCAGATAATGCTTTCAGCAAGCAGGTCCTGTGCGGAGTGGCGACAGTCTAAACTCCATTGATTTCAGGAGGCCTAGATGGAGCGTAACCCTAGAAAAAACTGAACCGTAAATCTTTGTAGTGGGAAGTGCCTTCAAGTTGCAGCTGACCCCCGTAGGGTTTTCAAGGCAAGAGAGGAGCAGAGGTGGTTTGCCATTGCCTGCCTCTGCGTAGCAACCCTGGACTTCCTTGGTGGTCTCCCATCCAAGTACTAACCAGGGTCGACTCTGCTTAGCTTCCGAGATATGATGAGATCAGGCTAGGCAAGGGGGGACTCTCCAGGTTGGGAAATCTTGACTTGAGCAAAACGGGAGAATTCTAACACTCGGTGAATAACCTTTCTTGTGGAAGAATCAAACTTTCTATTTTTGTGGCATGAGAGGGCCAGACTAGAACCTCCCAGAGCTGCTCCTGCGTGTTCCAGGTCTCTTGTTTCAATGCCCAGATACAAAACAGTGTGGGATGTGACGATAAGGTGGTGCTCATCGTCTGTCCCTTGCCTTGCATTATTGGCCATCAGCAGCGGGGGTGGGGGTCAGGGGTGCATACATGCTGTGTGACATCCCATGGGATGTGTTATCGTAAGGCAACAATTTGCCAGCAGACATCGAGAGACTGGAGCACTGTGTATTGTCCCCTTTGACTTTGACATGCCTTTGGATGTTACGATTAACTGGTTTATTTGAATCAATTGGAGTTGATCCACCAGGTGATCGAAAGCCACCAGAATCTGCTTGGAAATCTTAATTTCTCAGCTGCTAGCCTGGTTGCCAACTCCCACTTGGGAAGTGCCTGGAGATTTTGAGGGCGGAGCCCAAGAAGGGTGGGCTTAGGGGAAGGGAGGGACCTCAGCGGGGTACAATGCAATAGAGCCCACCTTCCAAAACAGTCGTTTTCTACAGGAGAACTGATCCGTGTCATCTGGAGATCAATTGTAATCCCAGGAGATCTCCAGGCCCCACCTGGAGGCTTTCAAGCCTATCTGAGAGCCAATTTGGTGTAGTGGTTAAGTGCACGGACTCTAATCTGGGAGAACCGGGTTTGATTCCCCACTCGTCCGCTTGCACCTGCTGGATGACCTTGGGCTAGCTACAGTTCTGATAAGAGCTGTCCTTGTAAAAAGAGCAGTTTCTGTCAGAGCTCTCTCAGCCCCGCCTACCTCACAGGGTGTCTGTTGTGGGGAGGGGAAGGGAAAGGAGTTTGTAAGCCGCTCTGAGACTCCTTTGGGTAGTGAAGGGCGGGGTATAAATCCAGTCTCTTCTCCTCTTCTTCTTCTAGGACAGTTCAGGAAGAAGCTCTCTCAGCCCCACCTACCTCACAGAGTGTCTGTTGTGGGGAGGGGAAGGGAAAGGAGTTTGTAAGTCGCTCTGAAACTCCCTTAGGTAGTGAAGGGCGGGGTATAAATCCAATCTCTTCTCCTCTTCTTCTTCTAGGACAGTTCGGGAAGAGGCTCTCGCAGCCCCACCTACCTCACAGGGTGTCTGTTGTGGGGAGGGGAAGGGAAAGGAGTTTGTAAGCCGCTCTGAAACTCCCTTGGGTAGTGGAGGGCAGGGTATAAATCCAATCATCCTTTCTTCTCCTTCTTCCTCAGCTAGTGGTAGCCAACTACAGCAGAAGCAGAGGCCCCCCTTTTTTTTTTTGCTGCTCTGCCACAACAACTTTGTCCCCTGGGAGTGATATGACTGGAAAAGTCAGATTTAAACTGGGATTCCAGCATTTGAGCATTATTTTTTTTCCTTTATACCCATGGCTAGATTCACATAAAGAGCTAGCCACAGAATGATGCTCAAGAGGCTTGAGAATATTGAGAGGGGCTGTCCCAGACAAGTGAACTTGCCAAAGGAGAGCTGAAGGGGTCATCTCCAAAATGCACAATAGCTGTACAGCTGGGGGCCATTCAGATCATCCACACAAGCTCTCGAGTTGGGCATTGTGGCCGGCCGGTTGCTTGACCGACTACAGAGCGAGCAGCATCAAGGGGATTTTCTGTCCAGCCCCAAGTTCAGACTGGCAGTCTGCATTCAGTTCAGTAGGTCACTCGTTATGTTGGCCGTATATTGAGCATGCTTTCTGTTGTTGGTTTTGTTTTATTTCAGCATTTTTAAACTTTAAGAATATATCCCCCCCACCCAAGAAAAACAACAACAGCACTTTCATATCAGAAAAGGGGAGAAAAAAGAGAGTCCTGCCTATATCTCTCTAAACTCCAGAAAGATTTGTAAAAGGTCTGGACAACAATTAAAAAAATGGGTGACTTTAGAAAGAGATCTTGAGGTGTGCATCTAAATTAGATCTGTGTTACCGTTTTATCACACGGTTCTTCCAAGGATCCGTGTCCATCATTCACCTTTGTCCTCACAACAGTCCTGGGGTTAGATTAAGCAGAGAAAGAATGAGTGGACTAAGGCCAGCCGGCAAATATCAGGGCTGATTGGGATTTTGAACCCGGCCTTCTCCAGGCCTAACCATTATAGCACACTCATTTTATAACCAAACAGTTTAGACCTTTGTCTAAAGCCAAAGCAGTATAGTGGCTAGAGAGACCAGAATCTGAATTCCCAGAGGTCAAATCCCTACACTGCCTTGTAGAAGAAGAAGAAGAGATTTGGATTTATACCCCGCCCTTCAGTACCCAAAGGTGTCTCAGAGCGGCCTACAAACTCCTTTCCCTTCCCCTCCCCACAACAGGCACCCTGTGAGGTAGGTGGGGCTGAGAGAGCTCTTTCGAGAACTCCTCCTGAGAGAACAGCTGTTATCAGAGCTATGGTTTGCCCAAGGTCATCCAGCCAGGTGCAAGTGGAGGAGTGGGGAATCAAACCCGGTTCTCCCAGATTAGAGTCCGCACATTTAACCACTACACCAAACTGTAGTTGTAGCTGTGTGGGTTACCTTTGGCCAGTTACTGTCTCTCTCTCAGCATATCGAACATCACAGCGTTATTTTTATTTATATATATGTCACATACACACACACACATACACACACATCAGTAAAGACATTTACATAATACGTTCACAGTTAAAATGATAAAATTCGCAATTTACATTAATAGGACAGTAGTGAGCCTATAACCAGTTTACATTAATAGGACAGTAGTGAGCCTATAACCAATAAGATGGCGATAAGACTGCCCAAATATGCCACTGCCTCATGGAGGGGGAGGCTGGGAAAAAACAGGATGAACAGGAGTGCGAGCCGGGTGGAACACCGTCAGTGCCAGGGCTATTTTTGGGCAGGAACGCACAGGAACGGAGTTCCGGCTGGCTCCTGAGCTGGCCACGCCCAGCAGGAACTTATTAGCATAATAGGCCACACCTAACAGCAGAAACTCATTAGGATTGGCTACATTAGGGGTGTGTGGCCTAACATGCAAATAAGTTCCTGCTACAAAAAAAGCCCTGGGTTTTGACAACAAAGTAAACAGAATAAGCAAAAGGTGGGTGTGACTGGATGACCACACTTCTGGTAACATGGGGGTATGTGGCCTAATATGCTAATGAGCTGTGCTATCAGGGGTGTGGCCTAATATGCTAATGAGTTTCTGCTGTTGGGTGTGGCCTATTATGCTAATGAGTTCCTGCTGGGCTTTTTCTACAAAAAGAGCCCTGACTGGTCCGTCACTGTCCTCTACCAAACGTCTGGCGGAACATCTCTGCTTTACGTGGAGGAAGGAAGGAGGAGATTGGATTTATACCCCGCCCTTCACTTGGAGTCTCAGAGCGGCTTACAATCTCCTTTCCCTTCCCCTCCCCACAACAGACACCCTGTGAGGTGGGTGGGGCTGAGAGAACTCTGACACAAACTGCTCTTTCGGGAACAGCTGTGCCAGAGCTTGTGACTGACCCAAGGTCACATCAGCAGGTGCAAGTGGAGGAGTGGGGAATCAAACCCGGTTCTCCCAGATTAGAGTCCGCACACTTAACCACTACACCAAACGTGCCCTGCGGAACTGCATTAAGTCCAGCAGGGCACAGAGGTCGTTTGACAGAGAGTTCCACCAGGTCGGGGCCAGGGCAAAAAACGCCCTGGCCCTGGTCCAGGACAGCCAGATGTCTCTCGGGCCAGGGACCACATATAGGTTCTTGTCTTTAGGGGATATACTAGGAGAGATACGTGGGTTATTGTGAGGATACAGTAGGGAAGGGAAAGCCATATGATGCTGCCCTGGAAGGGTGGCATACGAATGTACTGGATAGGTAAGTGATGGGAATTATCCCTTCCACCTGCACAATCTGCTGCTGAGTCGCTGGACTGAATCGCATGTTTCTTATTTTATGATCTCAGTTGGTTTCTCTTTTCCAGCACTACCAGGAATTACTGTTTACTATTGTTACTCATAATACTGTTACTGGTAATATTAGTATTACCACTACTACTCTGATCTAGATAGTTGGGAAGCTTGTCTTTCAACAAAACGTGCTTCTTGGTTCCATGTCTCATTGCAGGTCAGCAGCTGCCTTTGGCTAATACGGAAGACCCCCGGGCCCCAAGCGCCGTCTCCACAGACCTTGAACAAGGTAAGCCTGTTCATGATGACGGTCCAAATGCTAAAACTCCTTCCAGATCTGACAGACATGCTGCCGAAGCCTCAAAGGCAGCTGACGAGTCCATATCAAAAGTACTAGACTGGTTTAAGAGGAGTTCCAGTACGGACAGCGAAGGAACCGTGTCACTGTCAGTTTCTCAAGGGAGGGAGCCCTTGGAGGAGACGAGTGCGACCAAGACGAAAGAGCTGGCCGTAACGAGAGAAGAGAATGATCCAAGTAGGGTTGTACTAAATGAAGATGCGACTTTGCCTGAAAGAAAAGAGCTGACCGGCAAAGACCCTCAATTCCATGATGGAGGCAGCCAGCCAGAGTTGCTGTCCCTTGCTCAGACTAGATATCCAAGCGACCTGCTGCTGGAAGAACAAAGATTCGGCAGTAAAGGCAAAGAAAGAGAGGCTGCAGATTTGAGTGACCAGAGGAGCATGCATTTTCAGATCACTGGTCAGGGACCAAAGAACGCAAGTCAAATGCACTTTTTGAAAGAAGATGTTGGAGAAAGCAAGATGGAAGATGAAAATGCCGTGTCCAGAGAACCAAAGGTGGTCGAAGGCGTAAAGTTGGGTCTGAATGTTGATTCTTCTGCAAAAGAAAGGGAAGTGGGAAATAAGACTCCGGCTGATGGGGAGAGAAACGTTAAATCGTACCTGCAAGAGGGGAACTTTGAGCATCCATCTGGAGTGCTTCTTAAAGAGCCCGAAGGACCAAAGTCCAGCTTTCTAGAGAAGGGAGTTGTGCAGCTGGATGCCGATTCCAACAGAGGAAATCCACTTTGTACACAGCAGCAAGAAATCAAACAAACTTCTCCAACAGGGCATCGGAAAAAAATAAAGGACATTAGGGCTTTCTGGGAAAGAGAGCAGACTAGTCCAAGAGTAGGGAACAAGGAAGATATGTTAAGTGAAAATGCATCCGTTAATAAAGTGACGGACAGCTATAACAGGGGAAGCAGCAAAGTAAAGCCAGCTCCTGAGTCTTCAGGGTATGCCACGGGTGAATCTGACAACGAGCAAGGTAAATATAATTTGGTTACCTTCAGAAGAGTTGAACTGAGTGACGACTCTGAACCTAAAGATGATGACATTGACTTGTCTTCAGGAAGAGTTAGACCAGAGTCAGTGGATAAATCCAAAGGCGGACGTGATGTTACCAGATCAAGCAAAACACTTCCAAGTGACTGGAAGAGTACTGAATTTACGGAATCCCTGGATGCAGGTAACCCGCAACCAAGACATGCAGCATTCTCTTCCAAAAAAGAAGGTTCACAGACGAGTGCTTTGGCCAAAGACAGGACTTCCTCTGCTCTGCCACAGAAGCCCAACTTTACGATTCATTCGTTAAAGGAGAAAGTAAATGAAGAATCCAAGTCTGAAATGCTCAACCCTTCACAGTTCCGGAGCCTGAGAAGTTTTTGGGATGTTGGAGTGAAGCCACAGGATAGGACTGATGAAGCCAAAGAAAAGAGAGTCCCACATAGCGATTCTGTGGGAACTTATCAGCGACAGTCAAAGGAAATAAAAGGGGTCAGAGGAGGAACTGGCCAGGCCTCTTTGGAAGAAGAACAGAGAAGTCAGGTCACCCAAGGTTTTTTAAAAGCAACTCCCAACCAACCCTTGTTAGCAAATGTAGCGCCAAGGAGAAATTTACGATTTGTCCCCAAAGAGGACGGCTACTTGGTAGAGCTGGCTGATTCAAAACCCGTGGGAATGATGATGTGTCCAGGGAAAGAAGTGGAGGAATATATACAGAAAACAGCTGTCCTGTCAAAAACACCATCTAACTTGTTTAACAGTGGCTTGCAGAAATTACTGACACAACCATCTCAGAATTCCTCACCTGTTGACCTACCTTCTGATGAAAGAGGAGCTCCCAAAGAAATGGAGGGGCGAACCGAGGGCTCCGACCGCACTATCCAACACGGGGGTGTTCCTGCAGACATTGATAGCAACGTTGGCCTTTCAGCGAGTGAGATTGCAGAAACTGTACGCAGAACTCAGGTCCCGCCAAAAATTGGTGCTGATTCTTTTAATGTTGGCATAGAAAGGCTGCTCAAGGAAGCTCTGGATGCAACACCCTCTTCAGACGGTAGTGAAGCCGTGAATACTTCCAAGCAATCTGCTCCCGTGTCGGAGGAGAGAGGTTTTTATAATAAGGTGATGCAACTCAGCCGTGATGCTTATCCCGCCGATCAGACCAAGAGGGATGTGGTCCCTCAAAGTTTAGGAAAACGTGCCTCCACCTCGGATCCAAATGTCAAATTTAAAACAACCGAGGGGAATGTGCTTAAAGGAACAGAAGATTTAAGTTCAGGGCCTTGGAGAGCTCTCCACCGAGAGGAGGACCCAAAGTATCTAGACGATAGTTCTTCTCGGAAAGGAGTCCCCCAGATTCCATCACCAGCACCGATACTGATTGATCCTCATCTTGCTGTTTCAAGCAGAGCAAAATCTCCTGGTGAAGAAGTTTCAGAGACTGTCACAGAATCCAGGGTCCCGTCGAAAAGGGAAAGCCATGATTTGAAGTCCAGGCTACTGGGTCTTCTGAAAGAATTTTCAGAGCTACCTCCCATTTCACGCACTTCAGAGAGCATTTTGAAAAGAGCATTTGGTGATATCCCTGATCAGCAGGAGTCTTATAAGCAGGTGATGGAAACGTCAACTCTTCCTTCACCCCCAATGACACATGTTTCAAGACAGGCCAGCAGAGAAACAATAGAGAAAAGTAATGACATGTTCCATAGGATTCAAGGGGAGCCAGATGGAGAGACAACTAGGAAAAGCATCAGAGTTCAATCAGATGATCAGAGTAATGGAAATGTGACTTCTGTTGGCGAGCTTGTGGAGCCGCAACCCAAGGAAATGGCCGAGACAGTAGTGAAAACGGTTAAACCAAATTCATTAGAACCAACCGGATTCAAGGACAGTTTGCGTAAATTGCTCAAGGAGGACTCTCAGGTTCTTCTCAAAGACATTGAGTTTCCTAAGCCAGTGCATGCATCCTTATACTCCAACCGAAGTGCCAGTTCAGTTGATGATAAAGGTACGCCACATTCCCAAGAAATACATGAATTTGTAGAAAAAGCGGCTGCTCCTTCCAATTCCGTATATGGTGAATTCAAAATCAACTTCCAGAAACTGCTCATGGAAGACACGGAATTCCAACCCACCAGCCAGGAAAGCACAAACGGCAACAAGGTGAAAAAAGCAACCAATGATGAGAGTCAGCCAAACCAGGCTGTAGACTTAGTTGGCCAACAGGACCTGGGTCTTCAAGAAATTAAGGAAAGCGTAAACAAGACTGTTGTCCCATCCAAGCTGCAGCAGAGTGAACTTAATTCTGGCC